AATATTATTATTTACTTACTTTAGTGTAAATGTATTAATAGAAAATTCATTTGCATCAAAGATTTTTTTGTATAATTGATTTTCAAAATCGACCGATATGTGTTCAATATTAAAAGTAGTTGAACCAAATTCACACACTTTTACACTATGACACGATCAATAAGTTTTTTGAACTGGTACACCTAAGAATAGACATTTTTTAATAGATCAAATATTGCCAAGATCTCCATGAGCATATTGGATATTGGAAATTCCAAATGTTTCTTTAGCATCATTAGAATTCTAGCCTGAAACATTATAAACACTTGCTATACCCGTTAAAGAAGTCTTCAGATATTCCTGAAATTCAAGATAATATTCAACTTGATCTACGGTTAGTGTTTGACCAAATTTGGCAAATGTTGGTTGATGCTACGTAATTAAAATAACTATAATTAGTTACTATGTACATATAAATTATATACATTAATTAAATAATTACAATGTATACCTCATAGTTATCTTTATTTTCTAAACTATCTTCAAGTATATCATTATCGTTTAAATTATCTATCGATATACAGTCATCTAAGCTATTATCGCTATTATATTCACTTTCAAAGCTGCTGGAAATTTGTAAATCCTATTTATAAAATCACTTGTTATTTTTTTTAAAAAATAATTTGTGATCAAATACCAAACCATAGCAATAGTGCAAATAATACTTCATAATATCGAATAAATGAATTCGATGTTGATTCCTTTAATACAATATAAACTTATTATCAGTTATCATTATACAATATTAATTTTATCGATATGATTATTGCTAAAATAAAAAAGTTACTAGCACTGTCTCATCGTCTGTATCGGATATCACAATTACTTCAGGTTGATTTGAAATATCATTATTTTTTGAACTTATATCGAACGTATCAATATCGATTTTTAATTTTAAATCCATTATTTCTTTAGAAATTGTTGGATAAAAAAGGGTTAGATTTGCAATTTGCATTTTCTTATATTGATCGTGTTATGTCATTAATTTATCATAAGTATTTATTGGTTATACGCAACGTACGTATATAGTATACATTATTATAATTAGTACTGATAATCACTGTACAGTTCATATGGTACTGACCAAGCTACCGAACCGTACCAAATATATGTATACTCCTTATATAACAAGGCAGTTCTTTAAATCATGTAAGAATATATAAAGTACTGTACGTGAATTGATATACCTGATAAATCCTGCAGCAAATTAGAATTTTAAGCAATTATATAATATTTAAATTCGGATTTTCTGCTTTTTTTTTTTATATCAAAAAAAAGCATGACTTCATCAACAAGATCACATGAATATTTTATTCAATTAGGGATCATATGGGCTAGGTGCTGCAAAAAGGAACGAATTTCACATTTTGCAAATCACGAGATAAACAATGATTTGTGTTTTGATCACAAGAGTGATTGACATGCATCCGACCCAATTTAGGGGGTTGTCTAAAGCCATGTACCCAAGTGACTTTTTTGTGTAAATCAACCAACCGGAATCGTGAAATTTTGTTTACACAGATCAGCCCGAAGAAGTCAAAAAATAAAGAAAATGCAAAAAGACGAAAAACAACAGTCTTAACCTATCTTGGGGCACTAATTAAAAATGTCGGGAAGGCAATTTTATCTATACTTCTCTTCTTATATCAACACCCGACTAACCCTAATCCTAACCTTAATTTTAATTTAAACGATTAAAACGTTAAAATCACGTGGGTACATGGCTTTAGCCATCCCCAATTTAGGTATCGGAAAAATAGCCTGTGTAACCCGAAAACTTACGATAATTTCCGAAAAGTGCTGAAAAAAGGGACAAAATTTGCAAAAATATGATTGGCTAATATATATTTGAAATTCATAATGATAAATTTAAGATTCTATAGTGAATATTGATATGGGAACGTTGAGAATAAACACCCTCTTGATATAAAATACACACCAGCCTTTGTCAAGATATTTTATCATTAGTTATTTACCGTTTCATTATGATCGCATGACGGTATTTTCAGTGTTATTAATCACAATTTCTATCACAAATTATTTCTTTTTTTCTCTTAATAATTTCCGAGTTATTAATTATCTCCCAAGCTTTATTCCCAAAAATTTTAAAGATGTAGTTGAAGACGAAGAAATGTGATAAAAATGATTAGTAATATGAATCTCTGTCATGTCGTCATATGAAATGATAAAATAACACATTTATTCTGCCGTGCCGGGTATTTATAGTGCACTTTGTGCCCCACCTATGCCGCTAGGAGATATTTCATTATTCTACCGTCCTGGGGAATAAATAGTACTTATTAATATAGTACAAAAATATATATATTGTAAAACACTCAAGTATAAAATTGTAAGTGAAGGTGGTCTATACACATGACATCAAACTAGGGATGTAATTCTGCTTAACCTGGTTAGTTTGTACTTTGGAACATTGTTCTGAAATAGATACAAAAATTGGGTTCCATACTCTGTTTTAAACTTAGTTATACACATGAATATTAACTATGCTTGCCTGAACATTTTAGTATATTGATTAATACATACATTAATTTGCATAATGATAATTTA